AAACCTCCCACAATACGTTACTACAGCAGATGACGGGTAGATACTGGCAAGTGCTGTGCAGGTTCAAAGTCTTCTGTCTAGCCCCATGAATCACTTCACTGTTCAGCATAAAAAAGGAAAGACCTCTGGACCATCTCTAAAGTAGATTATCAATCTCAGTACCATGGTTTGCTTGGTCAAATTGCCCTCCTCTCCCAAACCACTGCATAAAAGTACCCATGTGAGATCAAACCAGTTAGATAATCTACTTAGCTCCCTCTGTCTCCCGCAGTCACTAGTGGCATCATCCAGCCTCCGGACGGTTCTTGGAAAATGTTGACTGGCCCAAATTACTCAAGAAGACCATTCTTCTCGTGAACGTTGGTCAGCATTTCCTCACTCAAGAAGACCATTCTTCTCATGAACGTTGGTCAGCATTTCCTCACTCAAGAAGACCATTCTTCTCATGAACGTTGGTCTTCTTGAGTGAGGAAATGCTGACCAACGTTCACGAGAAGAATGGTCTTCTTGAGTGAGGAAATGCTGACCAACGTTCACGGGAAGAATGGTCTTCTTGAGTGAGGAAATGCCTGACCAACGTTCACGAGAGGACTGGTCTTCTAGAGTGAGGAAATGCTGACCAACATTCAAGAGAAGAATGGTCTTCTAGAGTGAGGAAATGCTGACCAACGTTCACAAGAGAGAATAGTCTTCTTGAGTGAGGAAATGCTGACCAACATTCACGAAAAGAATGGTCTTCTTGAGTGAGGAAATGCTGACCAACGTTCACGGGAAGAATGGTCTTCTTGAGTGAGGAAATGCTGACCAACGTTCACGAGAGGACTGGTCTTCTTGAGTGAGGAAATGCTGACCAACGTTCAGGAGAAGAATGGTCTTCTAGAGTGAGGAAATGCTGACCAACATTCAGGAGAAGAATGGTCTTCTAGAGTGAGGAAATGCTGACCAACGTTCACGAGAAGAATAGTCTTCTTGAGTGAGGAAATGCTGACCAACATTCACGAGAAGAATGGTCTTCTTGAGTGAGGAAATGCTGACCAACGTTCATCAGAAGAATGGTCTTCTTGAGTGAGGAAATGCTTACCAACGTTCACGAGAAGAATGGTCTTCTTGAGTGAGGAAATGCTAACCAACATTCACGAGAAGAATGGTCTTCTTGAGTGAGGAAATGCTGACCATCGTTCATCATCAGAAGAATGGTCTTCTTGAGTGAGGAAATGCTTACCAACGTTCACGAGAAGAATGGTCTTCTTGAGTGAGGAAATGCTTACCAACGTTCACGAGAAGAATGGTCTTCTTGAGTGATTTGGGCCAGTCAACATTTTCCAAGAACCGTCCGGAGGCTGGATGATGCCACTAGTCACTGCGGGAGACAGAGAGAGGTAAGTTGATAATTATCTAACTGATTTTATCTCACATGGTTTTTTTTACCTCTGTAATGCACGAAGAGAATGCGCCCTTCTTTTGTCTTTCTTCACCAGTACCAAGGTTTCCCGACCTTTCAAGGGCTGCACCTCAGAGAATGACAGATAAAGTACCCCCCAGTCATCATGAAGATTTGAGCGCTGGTTTCTCTCCATGGTCTCATGGGTGTAAGTTCATATACCCATGGCATATGAGAACACAACCATGAGACGGTAGATATTGTGAACTTGGTGAGAGTTTTTCAGGCTTTATTTGCTATGTGCATCCTCACCCACTCGCCAAATGGACCGTTGTGTTTTCCATAAGCTGCGCTGCTTCATATACAAACTATCTAATATTTAAATGGTGGTTCCATCATCAGACTTGATGACAACTTGTTGTTGCATTCAGTTATAGAGTAAGGGCGTGGTCGTGCTCAGCATATTTCCCTTTTCAAGCCATAAGATGGTGCTTGAAGGACCTTGGATTATTAAGCAGTGTATGTGCTGAAGGAGCCACTATAGGACCCTATATGTAATATACCATTGCTTGGAAGGGTCACTTAGAAGTAATGCCAGTCTGCCCATGCCAGCAGTGGGGCACTTGGGGTAGAAGGCTAGAGTATAAATAGATTTGATGGGGAGCCACCAGGGTTCATTATGGTCAACTGGGACTAGGATGACTGAAGTTTCATGGATTGTTCAAGTAAATCATCTTCCTTCTCGTAACTTCAATGGGGAACATCTCCTAGTAATGGGTTGTTATCAGTGTGGGCTTCTCTGGGGCTCATTGTTGGCGGGTATGAACTGGAGAACATGTGATGGAATGGGTGTCTCGAAATACAATAATTCTCGAATTGTGAACAGATTATGATAGGCATAGACTATTGTCATTGAGTTGGCTGGATGCTACATACGTATCAGTTCTCCATTTCTAGCTTCCTGAATTGTGGTTCATATTCGATGAAGCTGGTGTATGGTCTGCTACGATGATAAGTTATCCAGCTGGGCATGAGGGATGAGCCAACACTTTGGTCCAGGTGCCTTTTCCCCGTTGGCACTTCCTGCTGTCAGTAGTTGCTAAGGGAGCAGGTGCAGCCTTCCACATCCCTAGCAACTTCTGAGGGCGCCATTATTTTTAAAGAGAGGTTTCAGATTCTGATAAGACCCACACTTGCAGACCCCCACAACAAGCAAGACAGGGTGTTGGGGAAGAGGCCTTTGTCTTTAAGGTGCTTTGCAAGGGCCCCCTTTCCTGGCAAAACACCCCCATCATGTTGAGGGCATGCGGCCTGGTATGGTTCTGGAAAGCATGGACAGGCAGGTGACAGGTTCTATTTATTGAGACATCAAGGGGTTTATTTACTAAAGCTTTTGGTGAGTCCAAAATCAGACTCCCTTCTGCATATAAACCAATCAGCTTCAAACCCACAGCTTGTTCAATGAAGCTTTGGCAATGAAACCTGGAAGCTGCTTTGGTTTCTATGCAGAAGGGAGTCTGATTTTGGACTCTCCAGCTTTAGTAAATAAACCCCCAAGGGTCTATTAGATCCCTAATGCTTTTTTTGCAAAGTGCAGCTTCTCCTCATTTACTAAGCTCTGCAAAGTGCACAGTCTATTTGCATTTACTAAATCCACCCCTGCCTGTCTGCTTTGGCTTTCCATAATGATGCTCTCTTTCTCTTTGATCGCTGCCTGTCTTGACCCTTCTTTGGGACAACAGATTCTCTTATCCTCTGAATTCTGTCTGGCTTGATCCTTGCTTTGGACAACAGATTCTTCTCTCTTTCTGAATTTTGCCTTTCTTGACCCTTTCTTTGGATAACAGATTCTTTCTCTCTGATTTTGCCTGTCTTGACCCTTGCTTTGGACAACAGATTCTTTCTCTCTGAATTTTGCCTGTCTTGACCCTCACTGCTTTGGACAACAGATTCTCTCTCTCTGAACTTGCCATTTTGGCCCTTGCTTTAGACAATGGGTTCTCTTTTTCTCTAAATGTTGCCTGTCTTGACCCCTGTTTTGGACAACAGATTCTCTCTTTCTGAATTTTGCCTGTCTTGACCCTTGCTTCGAAAAACAGATTTTCTCTCGCTGAATTTGCCTATCTTGAACATTGCTTTGGACAATGGATTCTCTCTTTCTCTGAATTTTGCCTTCCTTGACCCTTGCTTTGGATGACATATTCTCTCCCTCTCTCTCTCTCCGAATGCGGCTTGTTTTGAATAACAGATTCTCTCCCTCTGGATGCTGCCTGCCTTGACCCTTGGTGTGGATAATGGACTTTATCCGAACACTGCCTGCCTTGACCTTTGCCTTGGATTTCAACACTCTCTCAGAAAGCTTCCTGCTTTGACTCTCGCTTTCAATAACAGACTATCTTTCTGTGGGGTAAGAGTCACAACACCATTCAAAACTGAGCCAGTGCTTCAGACGTGGATATGGCTGTGTATGGCCACGCCTGCTGACACTTTTCGCTGAGGCTTGGTCACAGAAATATGTCAGGGGGCGTGGCTGGAGCACCGATGGCTGATGCCATACACAGCCATATCCACATTCAGTCTACATGTGATCACAGTGGGACTGTCTTTCTGAACACTGCCTGCCTTGACCCTTGCCTTGGATATGGACACTCTCTCTGAACACTGCCTGCCTTGACCCTTGCCTTGGATATGGACATTCTCTTTGAGCACTGCCTGACTTTACCCTTGCCTTGGATATGGACACTCTTTCTGAAAACTGCCTGTCTTGACCCTTGCCTTGGATATGGACACTCTCATTGAACACTGCCTGCCTTGATCCTTGCCTTGGATATGGACACTCTCATTGAACACTGCCTGCCTTGGCCCTTGCCTTGGATATGGACACTCCTCATTGAACACTGCCTGCCTTGACCCTTGCCTTGGATATGGACACTCTCTGAACACTGCCTGCCTTGACCCTTTCTTTTGGTATGGACGCTCTCTCTAAACACTGCCTGCCTTGACCCTTGTCTTTGGTATGGACACTCTCTCTAAACACTGCCTGCCTTGACCCTTGCCTTGGATATGGACACTCTCTCTGAACACTGCCTGCCTTGACCTTTGCCTTGGATATGGACACTCTCTGAACACTGATTGCCTTGACTCTTGCCTTTGGTATGGACGCTCTCTCTGAACACTGCCTGCATTGACCCTTGCCTTTGGTATGGACACTCTCTCTGAACACTGCCTTCCTTGACCCTTGCCTTGGATATAGACACACTCTGAACACTGCCTGCCTTGACCCTTGCCTTTGGTATGGATACTATCTCTAAACAGTGCCTGCCTTGACCCTTGCCTTGGATATGGACACTCTCTCTGAACACTGCCTGCCTTGACCCTTGCCTTGGATATGGACACTCTCTCTGAACACTGCCTGCCTTGACCCTTGCCATGGATATGGACACTCTCTCTGAACACTGCCTGCCTTGGCCCATGCTTGGATACTTACTCTTCCACTGAACACTGCCAGTCCTGACCACCACCTGATCAATGGATTACTCCTTGGAATGCCTCTTCCTATAACCTAGCCTCCGACTATGGATTACCTACCTCCTGATAAGCGTTCATGGTACTTGAATCCTCTCTCTGGCAGTCCTGATGGGCGCCTCTCCCTGTCCTGCAAATATAGTGCCCAAGTCCTGAAGGCAGCTGAGTATTGATAGGCTGGGCCAAATTTAGCCTATCTGATGTGGGGATGCAGTAAAAAATGTCAGGGAGGCAGAGGATTGGAGCTCAGCAGGGCAGAGGACGGGGGTCACTGCTGGCAGGGCAGAGGAGAGGGGTCACTGCTGGCAGGGCAGAGGACAGGGGTCACTGCTGCAGTGCAGAGGACTGGGGCACATTTTCATCTCTCATCCCTGCATTGCACACAGCCTGAGCACAGGCCACAGAGCTTCTCCCCCCCACACAAGTGCAGGTTAGGCAGTATAGTGGCACTAGGGCAGAGTGGCAGGTTAGGGTATAGTGGCAGGTTAGGGCAGTATAGTGGCAGGTTAGGGCAGGATAGTGGCAGGTTAGGGTAGTGTAGTGGCAGGTTAGGGTAGTATAGTGGCAGGTTAAGTGGCAGGTTTATAGTGGCAGGTTAGGGCAGTATAGTGGCAGGTTAGGACAGTATAGTGGCAGGTTAGGGCTGTATAGTGGCAAGTTAGGGCAGTATAGTGGCAGGTTAAGACAGTATAGTGGCAGATTAGGGCAGTATAGTGGCAGGTTAGGACAGTATAGTGGCAGGTTAGGGCAGCATAGTGGCAGGTTAGGGCAGTATAGTGGCAGGTTAGGGCAGTATAGTGGCAGGTTAAGGTGGTATAGTGGCAGGTTAGGGAAGTATAGTGGCAGGTTAGGGGTAGTATAGTGGCAGGTTAGGGCAGTTAGGAAGGTTATAGCAGGCAGGTTAGGGCAGTATAGTGGCAGGTTAGGGCAGTATAGTGGCAGGTAAGGCAGTGGCAGGTTAGGGCAGTATAGTGGCAGGTTAGGGCAGTATAGTGACAGGTTAGGGTAGGTTAGGGTAGTATAGTGACAGGTTAGGGCAGTATAGTGGCAGGTTAGGGGCAGTATAGTGGCAGGATTAGGGTAGTTAGTGCAGTATAGTGGCAGGTTAGGGCAGTATAGTGGCAGATTAGGGCAGTATAGTGGCAGGTTAGTGCAGTATAGTGGCAGATTAGGGCAGCATAGTGCAGGTTAGTGGTATAGTGGCAGGTTAGGGCAGTATAGTGGCAGGTTAGGGGTAGTGGCAGGTTAGTGCAGTATAGTGGCAGGTTAGTGCAGCATAGTGGCAGGTTAGGATAGTATAGTGGCAGGTTAGTGCAGTATAGTGGCAGGTTAGGGCAGTATAGTGGCAGGTTAGGGCAGTAGAGTGGCAGGTTAGGGCAGTTATAGTGGCAGGTTAGGATAGTATAGTGGCAGGTTAGGGCAGTAGTGTGGCAGGTTAGGGCAGTATAGTGGCAGGTTAGGATAGTATAGTGGCAGGTTAGGCAGGTTTAGGGTTAGGGTAGTATAGTGGCAGGTTAGGGCAGTATAGTGGCAGGTTAGGGCAGTATAGTGGCAGGTTAGGGTAGTGGCAGGTTAGGGCAGTATAGTGGCAGGTTAGGATAGTTATAAGGTGACAGGTTAGGGTAGTATAGTGTACAGTGGCAGGTTAGGGCAGTATGTGACAGTGGCAGGTTTAGGGCAGTACAGTGGCAGGGTTAGGGCAGTATAGTGGCAGGGTTAGGGCAGTATAGTAGTGAGGGCAGTATAGTGGGGTTGGCTTTAGGGCAGTATAAGTGGCAGGTTAGGGGTATAGTGGCAGGTTAGGCAACACAACTAAATGGCTTTGGGGGGAAGGCATAACTAAAATCTGGGGGAGCAGCATAGCCCACTTCAGTACCCCCCCAAGATCTGGCCATGATGATAGCAATATTAGCCTTAAGGTAAAGGTGGCTGGTGAGGGGAAACAATTCCTACAACATCATCATCACCACCATCATCACCACCATCATCATCATCATCACCATGATCATCACTATCACCATCATCATCATCACCATCATCACCACCATCATCATCACCATCATCATCATCACCACCATCATCATCATCATCATCATCACCATCATCATCACTATGAACATCATCATCATCATCATCATCATCACCACCACCATCATCACCATCATCATCATCACCACCATCATCATCACCATCACCATGATCATCACTATCACCATCATCATCATCACCATCATCACCACCATCATCATCATCATCATCATCATCACCATCATCATCATCACCACCATCATCATCACCATCATCATCACTATGAACATCATCATCATCATCATCATCACCACCATCATCACCATCATCATCACCGTCATCATCACCATCATCATCACCGTCATCATCATCACACTAATGTCACAGAACAGGACTCCGGATCTCTTATATGGAGTCTTACTGCATATGTGGCTCCATGCGTTCTCAATGCAGAGCTATTTGGGGCCCCAGTTATACACATGTTTATTAATACCTATGAAGGTGCAATAGATGAAGTGACTTACTTGGCTTTTGAGTTTTGGCTTATGTCCTAACCGTCTTTTTTTATATTTTGTTATTCTGCCTCACTTCTATGTATTTCTTATGTCTTGTATTGAACTGCATGAGGTTATCACTTTTTTTTGTAGTGTGGCGACATCTATCATCTGTTTTGGGCCACTGCAACTTATTTATTTATTTATGTGATTTTGGTATCTTCCTCTGTCCTCCCCTCCTGTTTGAGGGGTTTAGTCTTAGCTGGACCCTCCCCACCTCTTCCATGTTTCCTCAGTCAGTGTTAGTACCTCACCTAGAGAGGGCTTAGGAAAGTCATTGTCTTCTTACATATCAAAAGACTAGAAAAACATCCTCTGTGCTGAAGGCAGCTGAAGTAAAATTGTGTTAAACTCAACTTTCAACTTTTTTCGTATGTCCTGAGGAAGTCACGTGCTATTAACCGTGACGTAACGCGTAGATACGCCAGTGGGAGGAGGCTAACGGACCGCGCGGTGACGTCACTTTCGGCGTCGGCGCCATCTTGGTCCACCTTTCCTAGTGAGGATCCACACTAGCCAGTACACCCATGGTGTGGTGCAAATGTGCATGTTCAACCACGCAAATGTGAGTAGTACCATCAGTGTGTCATTATTATAGGCTTTGCAGTTTTACACTATGTGGATCTCTTTTTGTCCTATATGGGGTGTTTATGGAGTAAGTGCGTATTAAACATCTGGAGGCACCTAGTGGAAATCAGTACCCATCAGAGGAGGAAGTACCATCATTATTGTTGAAGAGACCCCCAAGGTGCTGTGGGAGGATTACTTCAGAGGCATTTATCTGGCTCATTGGTCCTGCGGGGCCTGGGCAGGAAGGTGAGGGGGCACCCCTGTCATTGTGGATTCACGTTTGAAGCTGGGAGCACCTGCATGATTTTTGTGTGTGTGTTTCACATTACAAGACGGACTTACATTACTGGGAGGACACACAGCATTTGTGCTATTTATTGGTTTTTTAGTATGTGGATAGGGTATTTATAGCGCTGCACTGCTTTACCATTTTATTTCTCTACTGTGTTTGGTGTCAGGGTTGTGTCACCTGAGTGCTGGCAGCTTAGTTATATTTGTGTATTGGTAATAGCGCAGGAGTAATATTAATTTACGGTTAAACTCAACTTTGTGTTATTGAAGAGTTAAGCTGCCTGTGGATGGTGCCAAGTCAGCAGGCGGCCGTACTATCCAGACAGACTGGGTCTAAGGAGGAATGCCAAGGCGTAAAGGAGCATCAGAAACAGAGCATTTGTAAATCAATCTATTTCATCTATATACTGTATCTACTGTATATCTGTCTATCTTATCTATTCTATTATTGTATTTATCAAATTAAAACAGAGAAACAATAAAAAAAAACATTTGGATGTTTATGCACAGCATGGTGTGGTTTATATTTATTAACAAAGTGATATTTAGAAAGAAAAACATGATATAATTATAGAAGTTTTTTTATACCCCTCAGCCTACATGTAGCTACAGTGAAGGAAATGCGTATTTGCTCCCCTGCTGATGTTGAATGTTCGCCCCTCACACAGAAATGATCGGTCTAACAATGGAATGTTCGCCCCTCACACAGAAATGATCGCTCTAACAATGGAATGTTCCCCCTCACACAGAAATGATCGGTCTAACAATGGAATGTTCGGTGTAACACTGAGAGACAGAATACAACAACAAATTCAGCAGAAATGCGTCTAACAAATGATGACGGATCTGCATGTTCATGAGGGAAAGAAGGATTTGATCCCCTATCATTCAGCAGGATTTCTGGCTCCCAGGTGTCTCTCATACAGGTAACAAGCTGCGATTAGAAGCAGTCTCTTAAAGGGAGTGCTGCTAATCTCATTGTGTTACCTGTATAAAAGACACCTGTCCACAGGAGCAATCAAACCATCAGATTCCAAACTCTCCACCATGGCAAAGACCAAAGAGCTGTCCAAGGATGTCAGGGACAAGATGGTAGACCTACACAAGGCTGGACTGGGCTACCAAACTATGGCCAAGCAGCTTGGTGAGAAGGTGACAACAGTTGGTGCAATCATTCACAAATGGAAGAAACACAAAACAAGTGTCAGTCTCCCTAGGTCTGGTGCACCATGCAAGATCTCACCTCGTGGAGTGTCAATGATCATGAGAACAGTGAAGAATCATCCCAGAACTACATGTGAGGATCTTGTCAATGATCTCCAGGCAGCTGGGACCACAGTCACCAAGAAAACAATTGGTAACACACTACGCCGACAAGGACTGAAATCCTGCAGTGCCCGCAAGGTCCCTCTGCTCAAGAGAGCACATGTCCAGGCCCGTCTGAAGTCTGCCACTGAACATCTGAATGATGCAGAGGAGGACTGGTGGGGAAGTGTTGTGTCAGATGAGACCAAAATCCAGCTCTTTGGCATCAACTCAACTCTCCGTGGTTGGAGGAGGAGGAATGCTGCCTATGGGTCATAGAACACCTAACATCCTAACTGTGAAACATGGTGGTGGAAACATTCTGCTTTGGGGGGGTTTTCTGCTAAGGGGACAGGACAACTGCACCGCATCAAAGGGACGATGGACGGGGCAATGTACCATCAAATCTTGGGTGAGAACCTTCTTCCCTCAGCCAAGGCATTGAAAATGGGTGGTGGATGGGTGTTCCAGCATGACAATGACCCAAAACACACGGCCAAGGCAACAAAGGAGCGGCTCCAGAAGAAGCACATTAAGGTCCTGGCGTGGCCTAGCCAGTCTCCAGACCTTCATCCGATTGATAATCTGTGGAGGGAGCTGAAAGTTTGAGTTTCCAAACGTCAGCCACTAAACCTTAATGACTTGGAGAGGATCTGCCAAGAGGAGTGGGCCAAAATCCCTCCTGAGATGTGTGCGAACCTGGGGGCCAACTCCAGGAAACATCTGACCTCTGTGATTGCCAACAAGGGATTTGCCACCATGTACTAAGTCATGTTTTGTGAAGGGGATCAAATCCTTCTTTCCCTCATGAACATGCAGATCCGTCATCATTTGTTAGACGCATTTCTGCTGAATTTGTTGTTGTATTCTGTCTCTCAGTGTTACACCG